CATGTGCCTAGCCATAATCTCCATCACTTCCATAATTTAGGTTGACATGTGACTAGGAAATAATTGTTTCCACACTTTTGTCAAACTTGAATTGGTTTGGCATCATGTCAACCACAACTCAACACATGCCAACCGCTTTTGCTATGTGCTTGTGAACCGCCTGTGCCAAGTGTCTAGTCATGATCGCCACATCCTAAGAACCTAGGATCATGGCTTAATTGTCTCTACTTTTCTTTTTTCATATTGGCATCGGCACAATTGGCCAATGCCAATCTCGTACATGCCAAACCTCTTGTTCCAAACTTATGCAATCACAATATGGTTGATGCCTTACAAAGGCAATGCCTTTCTAAAACGGTATGTATCACAAGTTAGCCTTTCAATCAGTTTCTTAATCAGTTGTCATTAGTCATCTTCAATAGCTTAACTTCTGGTATTTGTAATGATTTTGAATGTTGAAGTCTGATACAATAGTCGTTACATCAATGTTGAGTTTCAGATATGTTTTGCTAACCAGCTTGAATAGAATCTTATAAATATGGCAATCTTTGGTCACAATTCAATATATGTTATAAGGGGAAGTTACTAAAAAAGTCCTAAACATATTGCACTTGTACTAATTCAATATTAAACCTTTCAATTTGAACAATTGAGTCTTAAACCTTTTGATAATTTGTCAATGTAGTCCATCCAGCCAATTTTGATCGGAAATTACTGACATGAACGCCAGTCGCCTGACATGGTATAATCAGTGCTGATGTGTATAATTTTTGTAATTTTTTATTATTTTTCTGAATTTTTGTTTTATTTCTTGTCCTTTTTCCTCCATTGGTCACTAGGCCTCGGCGATGGCTGGTAACCGGCCACAGGCGACAACCGATGAGGGGTAACCTCGCCAAGGTCACGACTTTCCAAATCCTAGCGAGGTCGACCCTTGCCTGAAGTTGGCAAGGCCGACCCTCGCCAGTTTTCACCTTTGGCCAGTCACCGGCCATCGCCAAGGCTAGGCGACCAAAGGAGGTAGAAGGAAAAAAAAATAAAAGAAAAATATAAAAAAATTCAAAAAATTAATATAAATTATAAAAATTGTTCACGTCAGCGCAGACCGTACCAAGTAGAACGACCGACGTGTGGATGAATGGAGAATTCAATTGGTCAAATTGATAGGTTTATGACTGAATTGATACAAGTGCAATAGATTTAAGATTTCATTGGTAATTTTCTCTATGCTATAATTATTGATACACACCTGAGATTTTAGGCCTAAATTAGGTCTGACACAATACACGATATATCAAAATGATAGCGACAAGTTGGATCTTGATTATTTGAATATCCAGAACTTCTATGTAGCAACACATATCTTCCGATTTTTGGTTCTCCACACTACATCATGCATGTATTGCTTCCACATGTATTTCCTTCCTTAGCGTAAATATGGCATTCAAAACATGAGTATCTCCTTTTTATATAATAATTAATTCATATCACATGAGATACAGCAACATACAGAGCTTTCATCTTTTGCAAATCGGTTTTTGTGTGGGCTCATCAAATAGTTTAACTAGCTAGGTTTTATACCATGAAAGCCTAGGCATTTTAACATTGATATTTCTCACATGAGGAACAGCAAATCGCCATGTTAATTCCATTGCAACTGCAGATTGTTGGGAAAATTGTTCAACTAGTCATAGACCTACTGTACGGGTGCCAATTTAGTTCTAAACTTTCCGATTTTGTCAATTTAGTCCTAAACCTTTAGGCAAAATTCCAATATAGTTATTTCGATCAATTTTCGAAAATTGCCGGCTATCGTACGTGGCACACCATCCCGGTGAAAATTGGCTAAAAGGACTATATTGAAATTTCGTGTAAAGGTGTATGAATAAATTGACAAAATCGATAAAATCGAAAAGTTTAGAGCTGAATTAGCATTTGTACAGTAAAATTAGGACTGATTAAACAATTTTCCCACAAACTGTTATATCACAACAGTGTCTCCTCTACTCCCATACTATTATATATATGAAAAAGTTTGTAAACTTAGGAATCTCAACTTGCGAATTATTTATCATAATCAGTCAATTGAAATCTTTTCTTTGGCTATCGTCAGCACCGACGCATGCTTTTTTCTGCATGCAGCATGCCTGCATGGTTTCTTGTCAAACCCTTCGAACTGCTTTTCTTTTCTTGATCTTCATAGTCAAAATACTTTATGTGACGTGATCGAGAAGAGGGCTAAATTTTCTTTTGCTGATTTATCCTTATAGGTGGACGAATGGTCCTACGTGCATGCTATGCCATCGTTTAGAAAAGATCAGAACTTCCAGAAGTCCCCACTACATATTCGATTTGAATGGCATTATCAGATCAAGATGGTCATCAAGGAATTTTCAATAGCCTTCGTCCTAGGCTTTCGTGAGTAATAATTACAGTGTTTGACAAATCGCCTATGGTTGCGACCTTCAAGATAGGAGGAGCCAGAAGTTTCTGCCATGATGGAACGTTTGCATTATAATTAATTAACCATTTTCTATTATTTATATAGATATTATATATTCAAAATAAATTATACTTTTCGAAACAAAGCTTACCTTTTTCTTTGCTTTTTTATAAAGTTAAATCTCTTTGGGTCTCACTCATGAATCTTCTGGACCATGGAAACATAGAGAGACATAGCATTAGGAGTCCTACCATCTTCTACACGTTGCAATAGAGGAATTGGACCACGCACATTATTGACAGAATTGGTGGCTCTCGATTAATCACACTTGCTTCGTAAAGAAGAGACACGATTCCTTTGCGGGTTAAAAGCGGAATAATGACGGTGGAGAGTCCTACAATGCCCTCTTTTGGTGGGGGATAGTTGGAATAATGACGGTGGAGAATCCTACAATGCCCTCTTTTGGTGGGGGATAGTTGGAATAATGATGAATCGAAACTTAGAAATATGCATCTACTTGGAATCATTATGAATAGAGTGATTTGCATTATTTTGTGTTGAATATTCCAAGCTTATCTGTTAATTTTATGCACTTAAGTTTTGAGAATGATCAAATCTACTTTTTGAGGTTTTTATTCCCTTTATGTTTAATTCGAAAAAAAGAAGAAGATAAAGAACGATATAAATAGATGTATGTTTAAGCCCTAATACTTTATTTTCGATTTAGCCCTTACAAATTTATTTTCTAATTGTGAAAGCAAAAGGGGGGGGGGTGCAGAGGATAAGAAGGACGACAAACAGTAAAATATAGAAATTAACTACCGACTTGGTAAAATAACTTAATCGTCCTAATAGTACAATAATCAACCTCATCGTTTTCTTTTATTTTCTTGATTTAATTTATTTATAGATATTGCAAAAACAGCACAATGTGCATTTAATGGTTTCTTCCTAGAAAAGAATTTGTAGGCTTGCAAGAAAGAAATATACTGTCAATTTTTAATTACTCCGTGGAATTAAAGTTATGATCAATCTTATTTGGACCTTATAATGTTGCACAAGGAATGGACCCTAATCATCCACGTGCATGAAAACTACAATTGCTTAAGTGAGGTCTACATCTAAATTCTCCTACAGTTGGATCTAGGAATACGTACCTAGCACAACATAAATGCCATTTCCGACTGATCAAGACAACTCGTATGCATGATATAGAGCATGAGATGAAAGATCATTTTGATTTGATCAATGTATCCCATTATGATGACCATGAGACGGAGGATCGTTTTGATTGGATCAATGTATCTCATTATTAAACCTGTTAAAATGGGGCATGAATTCATTTCTTAATTAATATATGATGGGCCAAGTTGTTATATGGATTAGTTATATTTAGTAAATGGGTTTAAACATAATATATAGTTATATATATGTGTGGTAAATGGGTCATAAATTGATTTACAACTTACTTAAACCCAACCCACTTCTATGATTCTCTCTTTATTCTCTCTCGCCTTCATTTGATCTCACGCTCATTCACTCACTCCACACTCTCATCTCAACTTGGGTATGAGTTTTTATAGATTGGGTTAGAAATGGAAGTATTTTAATAGTATGGGTCGGATCAAGAATGAGTTGGATATATGTCGAGTCGGGTCGGTTATAAATTAAATATATTTGCATTGCATAGAAATTGATCAAGACGGGTTAAATGGGTCTATTTGGGTCGATCGTTTTCGACTCAACCTGCCCGTTTGACAGGTCTTCCCATTATGATATTTCGTTTAGAAAAGTGTGTAGGCAAGAATTGTTCATAAGTATATCATATCTTTTCGTACAGCTTGAACAATGCTAATCATCTTCAAGCTCGTTCTACTGTTACAATATGCTTGACAAACATTCTATGCCTCAACTTATACCAAACCATTCAAGGATTCTTCGAAACACGTGATTAGCTAACCACTAAACACGAGTAAAGATTCGATTACCTCCCTCTTATCAATCATTCCAATCTCCATCATCGATTTGATTCGATCTGCTCAATGCTGGTTTTTCCCGCATCACGAGCCATATCCCTATGTGCATGTGAAGAAATAATGTTCTTTCTCGTGTTACCTTGAGCTCCATAACAATAAGCAATCTCCTCCTGCATGCATGAAACCGGCAGCTTCGAATACAAAATGGCTCACGCAAGCAAATTATCTCGAAATATCAAACTTTATTTTCAGCCCTTTAATTAGATTTTAGTGAGGAATATCTACAATTATTTTTCTGGGTGTCGGTTAGACATCGTTGTCGATATCACACAACTGGGTCGTCCGGTCCACAAAATTTTTTGATAAAAGATTTTAGAAAGGACATGCCGACTAGTGACGTGTCATCACGTCATGATGCATGAAGGCCCTTTAGAAATTGCACCCAAATCCCTAATGCGTTGATATCTAAGTACGGCTAAATTATATAAATTATGACATCCACGTCAGCCACCATATAAAATCCACATAAAAAAGGACAAGATTCCACCGAAACCTTGAGATGACATATTGTACACCATCGATTTTGATTCGATATGGAACTTCAATATCTCGTTCGATTTCATTAGCACGTAGTACAAAAATTTCTGAGACACTGAAAGATAAAAACCAACCAACTACAATCCCAACAACGAACCGGCCAACCAACCGGCCAGTTGGGCGGTCTTCCTCTAACCTAATGCACGATTCCAAAAATGTATTTCATATAGTTACTTCTTCCGGACCTATAATTATGGATATTTACAATTATGGTTCGATATCTTTTTTTTCACATTTTATTGGTTCCCCGTCCTTGGCATCGAGATATATCACATCACTGAACACGCGTTCGGATTTTCGTCGCTGAACATCTGAGGGGGGTTTAAGCGAGGGTCCATAGGGTGCAATCGCTGGTCCATAGGCATCCCGTAGCCTTCGTTCACATAGTGAGTCGGGTAGCCTTGGTTCGCATACCCCGCATGGTAATTGTACGGCTCCACAGCATAGTTGTGGGCATAGCTGGGGGCGTAGCTGGGGGCGTAACTAGGGCCGTGGGAGTAGTTGTGGGCGTACGAGGGTCCCTCGGGCCAATACATCGGAGGTGGCGCGGAGTAACCGGGGTACTCCAATTTGCTCAGCTCCATTTTCGGGGCCTCGCCGCCACCCCCATCCTCCTTTTTGCTCTCTCCCTTGTCCTTCTTCTCCCCACCGTCCTTCTTCTCGCCGCCGCCAGCGGCGGCTTCTTTCTCTTTCTTGCCTCCGCCGCCGCCGCCCCCTGCTTCTTTGTCCTTCTTCTCGCCGCCGCTGCCTTCTTTCTCCTTCTTGTCCGTAGCTCCGTCGTCCTTCTTCGCTGGCGGCAGCGGCACCACCTCGACGCTCCTCTTGAGCTTCTTTTGAAGGCGCGGAGTCAATTCCTTGGGGTCCACCGTCCCGGTTACGGCCACTAGATCCTTGGCTCCGTCAATGCTCACCGCCTTCACACCTGTGTATGCCAAGTCAGATTGAGTTAGACATCATCCGTTGCAAGGTCAATAATCTTGCCATTTGGTAAAATCTTGGTGAAGCAAGAAAGAGCTTTAAAAACATGGACGAATCACAACACGTTCCTTGGCCACTACATATTAAAATAAGAGAAAAACGGTGTATGGTCAAAACCAAACCACTTCTGCTGGCCACAAGATAAATTTTTTCCCCCAAAAAGAGACAATTCTACTCTAAAGAATAATTTCCTTCAGGTGAAAAATGGAGGGCGTTCATTGAAATGAAGAACCTTTTGACTGTAGAATTCAGAGCAGTAATTGAATCTCTAGACGCTTTAAACTAATCTCTTACCGTCCATCTTCGAGATGATCGTTTTCATCTTCGAAATGCAACCCTCGCAGTGTGTCCTGATTTTAAAAACCACCGTCGTCTGAACCCAAAAACAAGAAAGAACCACAAGAATCAAAAGATTAGCTACGGTTCCAACCACCCTCTGACCCAGACCACAATGATAAAAAAAACAATTAACCAAAGACAGCGTAGCTTTAGCATCATCAAATGTTCAAGAATCACGATTGTTTTGGTCAAACTGAAAGACCCTTTCTTCGTAGATTTCTATGTACCTCTTTGGGTTTCTTGTCCTCTGCCTTCTTGTCCTCTGCTTTCTTCTCTGGTTTCTCCTCAGGCTTCTTATCACCACCGCCACCTCCATCTTTTTTGGGCTGCGGAGAAACAATCTCCACCTTCTTCTTCGTCTTCTCCTCCAATTTCTCCTTGATCTTCGCGGGGTCGACTTTCCCGGTCACCGTTAATTTGTTGCCAGCACTGTCGACCTTCACGTCTTCAACGCCTACGCAACCACCACCACAACCACCACCGTCATCAGCATCACCAACAACATCAACAGCAACATAAAAATTCAATTTGGTGGGGGGTAAAATGGGATGCGTGTTAGGAAAGAGAGGGCGACATTTTCTATGCTTGGATTGTTTCACACGGCACCTTACTATCGAATAAACAAAAATCATCCAAAAAGCTGCGTCAACTCAACAAGCTCTGATCCTTATCCAGAACGTAAATACCAAGCAAAGGTACACCCAAAGAGTGGAATCTCTGTAAGGAATTTGATCGGACACATGGTGGATAGAATTCGAAAGGGATCGAGCAATGCGGATCTAGACGTTGCTTGTCGACTATGGAACGAATGACAGGTCAATTACGAAAGAAAATTTCACCTTGAAACTCGCCATCTCTCTCAACAAATCGAAAAACCATTTCGCCAAAACCGATCCGTAATCGAAGTTTCCGGACAACAATCTCGACATCACGTCGAACAGTTAACGTGCACAAATTTGGATGATGAAATCGAATTATTTTCTGGGTTCTAATCCCCCCTAGCGCGTACCATCGAAATTCCTGACAGCCCGCCGGACTTTCTTGGCGCAACCATTGCAGTGCATGTCCATCTTGAGGACGACGGCGACATTCCCGCCTTCGTCCTTCTTCTCGCCCTCGTTCTTGGCGCCTTCCTTCTGCTGCGATGGCGAAACAGAGCCAGACATGAGCACGTAAAACCTCGACAGAGAAATCACAAAAAAAAAAAAAAAAAAAACAGAGCACCCAAATGCCCAGAAACCACAGTGCGTGAAGGCCTAGGAAGCACCAACCTCGCCCATTCTCTCTTTGTTGTTACTGTCTCCCGTGCGTCCCTAAACGCTAAACACGAAGCGTGCAATGTCGTCTTCTTCTTCCGAGTACTCCAATGGTATGAAGAGACGAAATGGAGGCAAACGACGGGAATATATAGAGCTTGTTCGTGTCATGTTATGCGATGTGGCATGAGTGATGCATGATGTGGGGCATGTTATGTTATGTATGACCATGGGAAAAGATGATCATGATGACTGGGTGTTTTTTTTACTTCCTTTTTCGGTTTTTTTTAATGGGGGGTGATGATGACGTCATCTCGCAAGAGCAGAACCGCAGCAGCGTGAGTTGCCGCCGAGTTGGACTTGGACTCAATCTGGACTTCGTTTTTCCAGTTTTTTTTTTTTTTTTTTTTTTATGAAAAGTATAGCGAGAGTCGTCGTCTATCCATAAGGACAAAGTATTTTTTTTTAGCAAAAAGAAAGGATAAGTTTTTTTTTTTTATAAAATCGAAATAATGCGACACATGATGTGATAATTTAATGAACTTTCAAGTGCCAAATCGAACTTTAGTGAAAAAACACCGGCGCCCACCATCAAGGTACTAGAATGGTTTTCCGGGTCGAGCACGTCGTAAACGATGTCGAGAAAACGTTATGTTTTACCCTCGGAAAGAGAAGATAGGGGTGTCGGCCACCTCGTCGTGGAAGTCGTGCTTTGAATGACGTGCCGCACGACCGTATTGAGTATATGCGTGTGTCTTTTTGTGCGCGTAAGGATCTTCCCTTTGTTTCTATCTGGGTGTGAGATCTACCTAGTGCGATGTATGGAATTGTATGATGGAGTCGGGGAGCGTTGGAGTGTTTCTGCTGATCGGCGATGTCATGTGGGCCCGAGCCGTACATCCAATAACTTCGATTAGTATAATCGGGAAGGGCGGGCAGTCGAGCTCATTTCTTGATTCGATAGAAGCCAAGGGCGCTTGAATATGGTCCCAAATAAAGAAAGAGGTAATTAGAAAGCGGCTCCGATGACGACGCCATAAATTCTTGGGGGTTGTACTCGTACAAATCCAAATTTATTTTTCGAGAAGTAGATCGCCCCACGATATCCTAAATTAAATGAAATATACTATTAAAGGGAGGGTACAATCACTAGGGCCTGCCCGAATTATAGACCCAAATTAAATAGTCTAGTATTCCTTCACTACTCCTACCTAACATTCTTCGGGTTGGACTTAGGATGCTGATCTTGAATCATATTGTCTTCGGTGTTTGTCATCGCAGCGAGAATGGAAGAAGGATAAAAAAACAAAGAAAAGCAAAGGTGGTTTTCAAGGATTTTAGCCCTAGAGTGAAATTTTTGTTTGGTAAATAAAAAATGTCTGCTTATTATTCAATCTTTTAAAGAGAATGTGTTGTGCATATCATTTGGAATATTCAAAACTTGCGAGTATTATGATATTTTAGTATTGACCTGATTTAAACTTTCAAATCAATTGCCGGTAGTTTTATAAAATTCTACAGATATTTGAGCGTGAAATTGCACACTATTTACTTCCTAATATAATTAGATTTTACGATTTCACTTTCACCCAAATCCCATATTACTTAAGAGAGATATAGTAGATCATTTGGCAACAGCCTCATAAAAACTCTATATTTGTTATATGTTGTGTATTAATTATGGTCCAAAATTCTACGGCTGGACTTACAGTACAAATCAATTCGACCATTTTGTAAGAAATTATCCAATCACAATCTTGTGAACATCTTTCGTCGGGGAAGACGGATTAGACGTGGAAAATTCATGATCGCTAACACGTATGCATTCAAACGGGATATCGGACGGGATATTAATAGAGGGTAAAGTTGGATTAGGGTATCGGTTTGCGATTTTCTGCGAGACGAACATAAATTTTTAGTTAATATGTTATCGGGGAGTATCGCTTTGGAATTTTTAGTGGCATTATTCCTTGCATTAAAACACGACAAGATGCTGGCATCAACCGTAAGTGCGGGGGCTTGTGAAATTCATGTCGATCGAGAAAACTTGCAATTAGGTACGTAAGTGGAAATCCTCCTCAAAGCACACCACCACATGAGTATATTATCTTAGGCTCATTGCTTGGATAATGTGTGTATGTCCTCTAGCATGCATAAAATATTATCCATTTGTTCGCATCTGAATATGATATCTACTTGGTGTGATGTGTGGAATATATATGACAAAGGTGGGAGCGTGGGAGTATTTTCACTGATCGGTCAGGTCATACTCGCTCGGGCTGTATATCCGATCGCTACGATTTGAATATCCAAAAGATGCTTTACATGTGATAAAATATAATATCAAACAAGCAGTATGGACAATCGAACCAATTTCTCAATCTAATAGGAGTCAGAAGAGTTTAAATCAAATAGGGTCTCAAATAAGGAGAGATATATAAAAAAGTGGGTTCAATTACCCGGTATATTCTTGGGGTTTGCATTTATACAAAATCCATCTTTTTTCCCTTTCTCTTCTAGAAGTAGATCTCCCCACTAATCTTAATTTAAATGAAATGGACTATTAAAAAAAAGTATAATCACTGGGGCCTGCCCGAATTATAGACCCAAATTAAGTAGTCTATTCATTTACTCCTCTTACCTAGCATTCTTCAGGTTGGACTTATGATGCTGATCTTGAATCTATTGTCTTCGGTGTTTGCCATCATATGAGGATGGAAAAGGATAAAACAAAGAAAAAGCAAAGGTGATTTTCAAGGATTTTAGCCCTAGAGCGACAATTTTCTTATTAAATAAAAATGTTTACTTTTGATTTTATTTTTTTCAAAAAGCAGGTTTGCATGTCGGTTATTATTTTCGAAAGTTTAGAGTGTTATGGTATTTTACTATCGACAAAGTTTAAACTTTTAAATCAACTGACAATAGTTCAATAATATTGCACAGGTATTTGGGCGTCGTAAAATTGCCACTTGTTTCCTGGTACAACCAAATTTCATGTTTTACTTTCACCCGAATCCTAGACTACTCACGAGACATATGGCACATCATTTGGCAATGGTGTCATAAATACTCTGTAGGTTCGTAATGACTTCTACATAAATTATGACCCGAAATTCTAAAGCCGGAGCATTATTATTATTTCTTTTCGCTTTTGAATTGCGGCTTAGGGTTGATATTGCACGTACCCACTATGTGGTGGAACGTTTCATAAGAACTCATCTAATCACAACCGTGTGGAAATCTTCCATTACTTGTTTATCAGCACGAGTTTTGCCTAGCTAGGGCTCGAAATCTCCGAGTGTGTTGGCCTTTGTTTATAGCAATATTCATTGTCGTGACCTGTTTGCTCTTCACATGTTTTGCCATCTTCCTCATTCTCCTCATATGATTAGCGTTTCTCCGATAAAGGATATAGGATATACTAATGGTGAAAAGCACGAGTGCTTTCTGTCTGTCACGCCATACACGAGACGACAATAAGGAATTTCCACACTACAAACGCCAAGTTTCATTGTCTCTTCTAAATATGTTAAATTGTAGAGTTTAGTCGATGCAAGAAATATGATGCATTGTGCGAGGAAATTGTACTTGCTTAGTATTTTAAATCATCTTTAGATGGTTAAAAAGAACTCACATTTATACCTCGAGAGGCGACTAATTTGAATTCAATATTCTACGTTAACTATATGCTCGCTCACACGCTAGTGGGTAGCGTAAATCGGCTCGAAAATGCCTAGATAAACTAGAAAATTCTAGAATACTAATATTTTTGCAATACGAACAATGTTTCTCGCTCGCCGCGCTGTCGTATTATCCCCTTAAGAGCTTAATCTCATAAATAATAGAACTTTGAATAGTTTTTTTTTTATGGTCGAAAGAAAATTGTATTTGTTGCTCAAAAGGATATATGAGAAGTACATAAACTTTCATGACAAAGCAAATCCAAGCCCAAAATACTACAAAACAAAGCCAAATCTAGAAAACAATGAGGATCAATAGAGTACCAACAAAGTTGAGCACACATTCGTTCCATAAAAACGGATATGTCAAGTAAAATAAGCGACGGCCGATCACTGGATCCCACATCATCGTCAGTGTCGCACACGTCGGAAATTCCTTCTCCAATTACTATGGCGTTGCTAGTTGGCGGTATGTGCCTAAGTTTGACTTCCTCTACACCATTGCCATACGGAGACAATCAAAATAAATTGAATAAATACAAAATGAACTTTGGAAGAGCAAATCGTTCGTAATTTAGCGAGACGTTAGAGCTCCTACGATTACCATTGGAACTGAAGACAAAGGACCCATTTATGGATAGAGCATGGGGATATCGAATTCCTAAAAATATTATTAAACTCCAAAATCTAAATCAGAAGGAAATAGCTTCTAGATCCAAAACTAGATCATGAGTGTTTAAACTCTCATATCTAAAATTAGTTTCGGAGAAGAGAACTCCTAGATCTAAATCGCTGAGAGAAGAAAAAAAATAAGAAAATAACAATAAAACTCAAACAAAATCAACAAGAGAGGGAAGGGAGGGTGAGACTAGCTCAAATCTTCCCCATGCCTGAAGATCGAAGAAGACGATGAAGAGAAAAGAGAGAGGAAGAGAAAAAGACTTTTTGGCTGCTTAAGAAATATTATAAAAGTTTGAATAGCTGGATAAATTAATAACAACGATGTTGATGATGCTCATGTTGGCAATAGAACGGTCGACTTTGCAATCAATTCCATCGCCAATTTGCAATATGACGCTCATGTAAGGTCCTAATCACTAATTAATAATCTGAAAGCAGATATTTTGTTGTATCAAAGATAATGCATCATATACATTGGATCTACAATTGTGTCGATATTGTGAAAAAAAAGGAGGTTACTTTCAATATAGTGACTTTTTATTGCGAATAAAATCCGACTTTGTTTGACATGAATTTCAGTTTTGTCGATCCGATTGATTTTATCTGTTGTTGTGTCTTATGCATAAGATATTTTCTCTTGGGTTAATATCACGAAAAATCTCAAACTAGTACACATGTGACAATTTTATCATAAACTAATTTTTTGACCATAAAAAACACTAAGCTGGTACACTTGTGACAAATTTACCTTTAGTTTGTTTTCGTTAAATTTTACTG